GTTTTAGCCTCTTAAAAATGGTAAAAGTGGACGCCAGCATTGAAAAGATTGACAAGCACTCTTCTTGACTTATAAGATGCTCATTAAGTTCAACAAAAGCACAGGCAAACAGAGAGAGCGAACCATTTACCGTGTAGGGGTTGTCTGAGGGTGTGATACCGCGCTTAGCGAGAGCTCTGTGGTGAAAAGAAAAGAGGGGGGGGGCAGAATGTTGAAATAATACCATATGAACTTCAAAGAATCTACTAATAGCTTCTTCCTTTTACTAACAACTTTTGGTATGGCAATGCCTTTCATGATCTGACCTATGTCTACTCACAATGTAAACTAGCATGCACCAAATGATTAGACAATAGAAAAGCGGCTTCTTTATTTCTTAACAGTGTAAAAGCTTTGTAATCAGCTAAAAATTCCAATGTTTCATTTAACAAAATCAAAAACAGAGGGATGTTTATTCATGATGAGGTTGAACCTCAGTTTTTGTTCTACAAAGACAAATTAAGATACGCTCAACATGAGAAATTGGTCAGAAAAAAGTATTGCAATATATCATATGTTTTAATGCAAACTCGAGAAAAGACAGCTTTATGTCACATTAATTGGCGAGATTTAAAAAAAAACACATTGCAATCTATCAAACCTTTTCTGCAAACTCTAGAAAAGACAAACTTATTAACGTCAACATAATTTGGTGAGAAAAAAATAATATATTGCTATCTATCAAACATTTCTGCCAACTCTAGAAAAGACAGATCCTTTAGCCTACCCACCCTGTGGTGTTCAAAGCTCCGTGGATCCCCAGAGTCACGTTGAAGTAGTCGAATTCTGTGCTCAGACGAGAAACGCTCACTGCGCATGTGCCGTGCTTCTCCCACTCGTGGGACCTTGACATTAGGGTAAGATAAGAGAAGAAAAAAGAAGATAAGATAAGATAAGATAAGATAAGATAAGATAAGATAATATTTTTGTTGTCCCTTAGGGACAATTTTCTTGGCTGTACAGGACCGTAAAACACAATATTATGCAGATATAAATAAAAATTTAAAAAATATATTATTACTCTCATTACAATTCAATACAGTTACGTATTTCTCTCATCAAAATCAAATTCTATATGAAAAGAAAAGCAAAGCTGACAAATGTAGGCCTACATACATGCATTACATCAGATGCATCATTCAGCCACATGCAGGAATGTAATTACAAGACCTTTAGACACAGAGGAAGGACATGAGGACAAGAGAGATACGTAACTGAGGAGGAGGGTTTTACATTAAATTACATGCTGAGTGAAAAAAATATTCCTATTTTGTTTGAGCTGTAGGCTTGTTTTCCGTTCATGATGTTTCAGTCGTTATTACTGTTGTTGTCGTTGTTGTTATTGTTGCGGTACTTGTAGTCTGTTGTTGTTGTTGTTGTTGTTGTTGTTGTTGTTGTTGTTGTTGTTACTGTTGCGGTACATGTAGTCTGTTGTTGTTGTTGTTGTTGTTGTTACTGTTGCGGTACTTGTAGTCTGTTGTTGTTGTTGTTGTTGTTGTTGTTATTGTTGCGGTACTTGTAGTCTGCTGTTGTTGTTGTTGTTGTTGTTATTTTGCGGTACTTGTAGTCTGCTGTTGTTGTTGCTGCTGCTGCTGCTGCTGCTGCTGTTGTTGCTGCTGCTGCTGTTGATGGTGATGATGATGATGATGATGATGATGATGATGATGATGATGATGATGATGATGAT